CTTTTTGAAACATTTTTTCTAGTATATTGCAAGTTTGTTGAAACATTTTTTCTAGTATCTTTTTGAAACAAGTTTGTTGTGAATATTGCAACGAGATTATGGCTTTGACACTGAGTACAGAGGAATTGGTGTTGGGCCTTATGGCCATCGCGGTTTTGTTGATTATGCTCGTTGGGAATTTACCATATTTTCTAGAGGAACGTCGTGAGCTAATTCTCGAGGACGAGGAAAACCGCAAGAGATGGCCAAATCTCAGAAACTGTTTATGCGGTGGTGGCAGGATCAGCGGTGGAGATTTTCGGTGTTCGATCTATCATAAGGATCTCAAGGCACTCCAGAAAGCACTTGATAAGTCAAAGTGCAACTATATTCGAGAAATCTTTACCAGCTTATACAATATGTAATTACACGTTTAGTATCCCAAAGTATGATTAGAATGATCTTTGAACTAGTTGATAATTAAAAGTTGGCCTCTAGGGGTGACCGTTTTGGATCTTTGGTACCTTATTCTCTTTATGGATAATCTCTTTCAGGCCTTTTGCATTTTTTTTCTGACTCTACAAGTATATGGATCATCCAAAAACTTGTTCATGGCATGAGCCGGACATATCTTGGATCGGATCTGAATACCTTAAAATTCTATTTGCTTTAGGTTTTGATGCATTTTGAATAGTTAAATGCTTAAAATTATATAAATTCCAATTCGATTTTTTTACTTATTTAGTAAGAAGTTGGAATTAGGTAAAATTTATGTATCCAATACGAAATCCATATCATCGGACCTGTTTTCGTGGTTATTGATTGATTTTTAATGTGTTGAGGTTATAACTCAGCATATACATGATGACGATAACAACACAATCTAAGATGATAAACATGTTCAATATATACAAAGATTAAGTGATATCGAGTTAATATAATTAGATATGACAAGCTCTTTGCCTATTTCTTCCAATTTTTTTTGGTAAGGTTGCCTATTTCTTCCATTGTGTGATTAGAGTATATATATGCACACGATAAATTCAAGTAAAATATATATATAATCCACAAAATTAAGTTTCAAGTTTAGAAATGCAGCATAAAGATTTAGAGATCCATCGATCACCAACAAAACAAATCATTACAACAATATCAGTTTGATAAACCCTAACGAAGAAAAGAAAAACTATCTAAATTATTAAGACAACAATTGACACCTTCTTCTTCATCTTTGTACCAATACGGTGACAAAATATGAACGATGACGTAGAACCAAAAGAGTGCTGCAATGAAGAGTGCGTAATACAAGACCAAACTTTTCCACAGTCACCATCTCGATTATAGCAAGAAACTCGGTCTGGATGATAATGATCGAAACGAGAAAGCAAAACAAAAGTAGCACAAAGCAAAGTTCTAGGGTTTATCAAAATTCCCTAGGGAAATATATTTCAAAGTGTTATGTGTAAATTATATATGTGGATGCTTTTTTTTTTAGTTAGGATCTCGTTAAAATAGCGTTTCTTGAATTAAATTACAATCTTATCCCCACTCTAATTAAATATCAAATAATTCCAAGAAAATATAGTATCACTCCGAAATAACGTCAGTAGTTTAAAAAAAAAACTATAATCAATATTTTATTTCGGACTGGTAAGTGCGTATTAATTGAACAATCAAGCGAAATTTGTATTAGTTTAAAGATTATGATCCATGGAAGTGCTCGAGAAGAGGAAAAAAACCAGAGCCTTTGCCTGAAAGAAATATTTGACATTAAGAGAAATAAAAAAATTCAGTCTTTCTAAAGAGAGAGATATTCAGAGATAGAAAGATAGAGTAGCTTTCTATCAACAACACAAGTCACAACACAGTAGTAAAATTAGTCCTGAAACAAGATCCTCTATGATGTACTTTAGGTATTTATTAACATAGAGAGTTATGTAAAGCTTCAGACTGAAAAAAAATAAGAAATCAAAAGAAACATGTTTATGAAATAGTGGTTGATCAATCGATCTTACAAGCATCGATCTTCGAAAGCTTTTGACGGGTTTTTATCATCGATCTGCGAATGATGAGGGAAATCTAACGGCATTTCATCAGGAGCAAGCCAAGCTTCTCTAAACACTCTCGAAACTTCTTCATAAACTACTCCATTGCCTTGAGGAGTGAGATGGAGTCCATCGCTGTTTTAACACCAAGCAAGAAACATTTATGAACAAGATAAATGATTCAGGACATGAGTGTTTTTTAGAACCAATAGCATTTTGGGATTTGATTTAGATAGAGACACACCTTAGGTACTTTTTCTGCCAATCATCGGTTTCCTGCATTTTGGACCATAGGTTGACACATCGCAGACCAAGTTCCTCAGCTAATGCAACACAATGTTGTGCGTAGATTCCTGTGATTTCGTTAGTTCTTTCAGGCTTCTTCATAGCTTTTTCACCATAGATTGATCTGACGCAGCACAATCACTGACTGAGTTCCCAAGATGTGATTGGACTAATCTAAATGGTTGTGAC